GTGTGTGTCTTGTGTGTGTGTGTGCCTGTGTGTATGTGTGTGTCTTGTGTGTGAGCATGCCTGTATGCATAAGTGTGTGTGTCTTGTGTGACTGTGCCTGTGTGTATGTGTGTATGTGAGTGTATCTTGTGTATGTGTGTGAGTGCGCCTATATGAGTATGTGTGAATGTGTCTGTGTGTGCACTTTCTCCCTAGCAAGAGCACCCATAGGTTTCATCAGCTTCTCAAAGGGATCTGTATTCTCAAAAGGCTCAGAAGCACTAAGATCCTTTTCAGCTCTGGATTCTACATAATGAGAGAGAGGAAGAGGAGGACATCCAACCCATGGGAGAGGGAGTCAGACCAAATCCTAGAACTTTCAAAAGGGGTACAGCCACAACAGGAATGCAGGGGAGGCAGCAGGACCAGGCCCCAGGAGAACTTCTAACCTCAGTGGGTCTCCAGGTTGAAAGAAGCAGAGCCCAGAAGAGATGACTGCAGAAACAGAAGAGGCAATAGCAGCCCCGAGTCTCCTCCCCATTACTCCCGCCCCATCCACAAGCATCCACTTGTTCTGAGATACAGCAGAGAGCAAGGAGGCAAAACTGGCACCCGGAGATGCCCGCCAGGCCCCTTGGCACCCAGAAGACTTGGCAGGAGGGCCCAGGAAGGTGCCAAGCCCCAGCCTCTTGCCCCTGAGGCTGACATGTGGGACCACAGAAGGGCTCAGGGTGCAGGGCAGTTGTGGGACCTAGAAAGGCCATCTGGGAGGGGTAGGGCCCAAAGCTGCAGGCACTAAAAACCCAGAGCTGGACTTGAAAACCTAAGAGCCAAGGCATGCACCTTCCTCGAAGCCAAGGGGAGGAGTGAGAGCCAAATGCCAGCCAAGGGAGAAAGAGGAATGGGCAATGGGGGCTGGGGACAAGCCAGCCTGGAAGAAGGAGGAGGACAGCCTGCTTGTGGAGGAGGAGGGAGCATGGCAGGGGAAGGGGGCGATGTGACCTGGGTAGGAGAGGGTTGTGCTCAGGGGACAGGAGAACAGTGAGGCTGGGCATGGACACAGGCAGCAGGAGCTCAGGCTGTGGCTCAGGGAGAGATGCTGGGCCTGTGGCAGGGCCTGGGACAGGAATGGGGGATTGTGTCTGCAGCAGGACTGACAGTAGGAGTGCCCTGGCAGGCAGCCCAGATGTCTGGGTAGCCACTGAGCAAGGGCTCCTGAGGGGATCAGCACCCAGGAGATGTTTATCCACCCCAAGAACAAGGGCATCACCCACCTCTAGTGATGGGCTCAGGCTGCTCTTACTTAAGCCCGTGAAGGACAGAGTCCCAGGCAGCAGCAACCCCCACTGGAGGCAGAGCCAGGGCACGGCAGCTCGGATGGAGCTTGATCCCCACAGATAGAGGAGGGAGAGAGTCACAGGCAAGCTCCAGGCTCTCCCAAGAGGCCTCTCAGAAACCAGCTCATCTGATGCAGACACTTGTCCCCATCCCTGTCCCTGCCACTGTCACACACCGGCACACACACACTCCCCTCCTTCTCCCTTTCATCACCCACCTCCAGTGCCCCTGGCTCCTCCCTCCATCTCAGCCCCATTGCCTGTCCCTGCCCACCCTCACATGGCCAATCAGGCACCCACCCCGTGTCAAAGCTGGCTGTGTGGGAGGTGGGGAGGCAGGAACACGGGGTGAAGCAAGAAGACCCACCAACAGCGAGTCCTGAGGTCACAGGGACCTAGAGAGGAGTTAGCCCTTGACTCTTACTCCTACTCTCCCAGAAGAAGCAGTGCCACACCTATACCAGGCCTAGTGGTTCCCTGGCAGACGCCTCCTCCAGAACAGACACCTGCCTCCTAGCCCAGGCCTGTCTCCATCACCAGGTCAGCTTCTCACTTGCAAGGCTCTGAGACTTACCCAGCACAGAGAAGGCAGGGGTGAGAGGCCAGCTGTCCCTGCCATCCTGGGGCAGTCCTTGCTCTGGTGGGGCCCCCTCCCTCCTGACTCCAGAGCCCTCCTCAATCAAAGGACACCAAAGAGCTGCCCCTTGGCCCAAGTCAAGGAAGATTAACCCTTTCCCTACCTTACCCCAGCAGTCCAGGCCTGCCCCTCTTGGGTGGCTCCTAAACCAACCTCACCAAGCTATTTGCCCTTCTAGAGGTCAGGTCCTATATCACCCTCTTCCCAAGGGTACAAGATATCTAGGGTAGCCCTCCACCCAACTGGAGGCCCCTCCACCCAACTGGAGGCCCCTCCACCTGGTCCTGGTCCTGCCTCCCCTGGGTCCGCCCTGCCTTGCTGCACTCCCCAAGTGGACTGGCACTGTCCTGGGCTGGCTGCTTACCTGTGTCAGGTGTCCTGGGCTCTGCCAACCACCAGCTCCCAACTCAGGGCGTCCTCCCTCACCCACTCCCGCAGCCCCTACCTGGAGCAGCAGCTGCCTTCTCTCTGTGCGGGCCAAACCCTCGGGCTCCCAGCACTCAGCCTGGCCTGCCCGGAGGCCCAGGCACTCCCGGGGGGCTGGGGATGGCAGGGTGGCCTGGGCTGCAGCTACTCACAGCACACCAGGCTCCCAGTGCAGCCCATCCGGCCTTGTGCCCGGTGGGCAGGGGCGGAAACGTGGGAGCCCCAGGAGCTGGCCCACCCCTAGCCCTGGCGACAGCTCAGCCCAGAGCTCTGGCAACATTGGCAGGGGAGCAGCAACACCCCCAGCCTGGCCCCGACAGAGTCCCTGCCTTCCCGGCCAGCGGCAACAGGACCCCACTGTGGGGCCTGATGGGGGTCTGCACTACAGGTCCCGGACACAGCCAGTGATGAAGCCGACCTCAGGGAGCGAGGCAGTGGGGGGGGGTCCTTGGGACAGGGACTTCAATCAGTCTGACCTGGGGGGCAGGGTGAGAAAGAGACCAAGAACGTGACCGGAGGGACAGGGAGAACATAAGGGGTTACAATGAGGAAGCGACAGAGATGGGGGACAGAGATGGGGACGCAGCCTCTTCATGGGGGAGTACAGGTGCAGGACTGAGAAGAGGGCAGACACACTGGGACATCCCTTGTGCTGGTTTTCACAAGCGGTTTCTAGGGTTTGTGAAAACAGCAGTCCTCCCAGGACCCTGCTCCTCTGCCCCAATACTAGCTCTTGGGGCAGCCCAGCCTGGAAAAACGAGGACCCGGCATGGAAAGACCCCAGCCTCAAGGAGCAGACCATAGCCAGGGTGGGGGGCCCCAGCCCACCTGGTCAACCCGCCTGGCCCGTTGCTGGGCACAGCAACTCACTGGTGATCTCACTTCCATCCCTTCGGGAATGGGACCAGGACTGCGGGGGTTGGCACTAGTGACCAGAACTCGTGGGGACCGCTCAGCCGACGAAGGTGCAGAGAGGAAGGAGGCACGTGGTGGGACCCTCCCCTCCCCACCCTGGAGCGCTGCCCACAGCCCAACCAAGCGGCAGGGAAGAGGAACAGCCACAGGAAGGGCAGGCGCGGAGCTCCACGGCCTCCCTCTGCCCCCTGGTGGCGAGGAGGAAGAAAAGCAAGAGCAAGTGCTGGAAACGAAAAGGAAACTAGCAGCAGTCCCTGCTGCCACAATGGATCAGACCCCATTGGGCTAACAGGTGAATCTATCCCAGGTCGGCCTGAGAGAGCCCATCCCCCATCTCACCATTCTGCCCCAGCGCCCTGGATCCTGCCTCTACCACTTCTTCCCTGCAGCGTCTTCTGTTCCCCCTCCGCTGTGAGCCAGGTTCCCCCTCCAGGCTGCTGGGCTGGAACTGAGTCACTTCCCTGGCTGTAAACCCTGGGACAGTTGTGCAGTGCAGTCACTAGGGACGGACTCGGGCAGCAGAGCCGCGCTGTCGTGCCCCAGCCAGCCAGGCCCTCCCCGGTGAGTAGCAGGGAGGGCCCCGGAACTCATGGGGATAGAAGGGTGATGCCTGGAGCCAGGGGAGTAAAATGCATGGCAGAGGTGAGGAGAGGAGGAGGCACGTGGAGCCCTTCGTGGATTTCACACAGGATCTGGGATGGAAGGGGCTGCCGAGACCATCAATCCAATCTTTGGTCTACAGGTGGGGAAACTGAGGCTCAAGGAAGGTGAGTGATTTGCCTGAGATCACACAATGAGTGCATAGCCAGGTCAGGATGGAGATCCAGGTCTCTGGACTCCTGAACCCGTCCTCCCTGAATCCCATGCCCCACCCACCTCCCTCATTTGCCTCTGTTTCCCTCTCCCCTCCCCACCGCTGTGTTCCACCGCTGCACCACTGCCACACCACCCCAAACTCCAGCGGCCGCAGCCTGGGAGGCAAGACAGCTGGGTTTTCCACTCCATGCCTGGTCTTGACTCTAGGATCTCAGAATAAAGACACCAGCTGTCAGGCCCACAGTGTTTCCCTCTGGGCCCCAGGACCCATCAGGAGGACAGGATGAGATTCCCCTGGAAAGAGAGGCAGTATTAAAACCAGGCGCCCTGCTCCCCACACACACCCAGCATCTGCTCAGCCCCAGCCCTGCGGCCGCGCTTTACTTCTGCACCCTCTCTTCAAAGAACACACATTTTCCGCTCAGCTGGGGCCCAGGAAACGATGAGAGGGTGTCTCGAGGAGGATGAGTACCCATGCAAGGCTGGGGCCCTCCATGGGGAAGGAGGGGACACCCCAGCCTAGTGTCCACATGGTGTGAGCTCTCACGGGGGCACTCACACCACATCAGGGCCCAGAACACGGGCCCTGTGGGCACACAGACCTGAGTTCAAATCCTGGGTACCTCTGTGATGCTGGATAAAGACTTGCCCTCTCTGTGCCCTAGTTTCTCTGGTCTAAAATGGAGTTAATAACCTCCAGGATTATGTGGGGATTGAATGGAACAAGGACATCGAGTGTCAGCACAGTGCTGTCACCCAGGGACTGCTCCATTGGTGGAGGCCACACCGTCATCTTCACACACTGGCCTACAAGATAGAGCTGGAATTTCCTCCCACTAGGTAACAAACTATGTCACCCAAAATAAGTCACTTTCTCTCTGTAGGTTCTGCATCCTCCTTTGTGTAAGGAGAGAGTCGGGCAGTGAGGCCGAGGGTCCTTCCTGGGCTCACAGTCCAAGTCACAAGGAATCACATTGTTTCCAAGTACCCATGGCAGAAGAGGGGGCTATCTTCAAGGTCACCAAGGACCTGAGAGGTGAGTGTCCAGTGAGATGTTCTGGGACTGAGTTGCGGGAGAAGTCAGGATCTGAGAGCCCTCCCTCAGCAGCCTGGCCTCCTGATGCCTGACATCTGCCATCTTCCCCCAGCCGCTGTCTCTGCCATCCTCCAGGGTTATGGGGATGGGCAGGGGCCAGTGATGGACACCAGTGCTGAGCTGCACAGACTCTGTGGCTGCCTGGAGCTGCTGCTGCAGGTGGGACCTTCTCCTCCCCTTCCCCATCTGTCTCCCCAGACCCAGACAACTGGCAGGACATTCCCAAAAAATGAGGGAGGAGCCAGCGCCCCCTTCCTTACCATGACCTGTGTCATCTCCCTCTCCCTCCTGACACCTAACCTTGCTCTTGGAGGCTGTCACTGCAGCCTGAGAAGCGAGGTGGGGCAGAGCAGGGCTGGAAGGGTCCCAGGGCTGGGGGTAGCCTCACTGCTTAAAGCTTTAGAGGAGTGGATGTCCTAGGACCAGCCCTTCCTGTTGCTACTCAGAACCCCAGTCATGACCAGTACCAGATTTTATTGAGCACTTGCTATGTGTCGGGCTTTGATCTCTACATGCCCAGCTTTATTCAATCCTCACTCTCACCCTCTGAGATGCTTGATGTCCATCCCCCCCACACCCCAACACATATCCTCCTACTTCTCTGACTTCCTGTCTTGCCAGCCTGCCCCCCACCTGCTGCACTCCAGCTCCCCTGGCCTCTCGGATCTCCCTGGAGCACACCAGGCATGCTCCAGCCTCGGGGCCTTTGCATGGGCTCTTCCCTCTACCTAGGATGCTCTTCCACCAGAATACACAGCACCCTTTCTCAGCTCCTTCAAGCTGGAAGGCTTTCCTGGACACCCTAGATTTTCAACACACATGCCACACACACCACGCACCACACACACACACACACACACACACTGTCCACTCTCCCTGCTTTGTTTTTTGCTCTGTAGCAGTCATCACTAGCTAGTATACTCAATGTTTCACTGATATCATGTTTGTTGTCTTATCTCCCCTATGAAAGTAGAAGCTCCATGAAGCCAGTTTGTTCATAGCTGTATCCCCAGAACTTAGAACAGGGCCTGGAACATAATAAGTGCTCAATAAGGGCCTCTGAATGATTGAATGAATGAATGAATGAATGAGAAAACTGAGGCTCAGGGAGGCCGAGCACCTTGCTCGTGGTCACACAGCCAGTGAGGACAGAGCTCGGTCTGGATGCCCAGTCTGTCTGCAGCTCTGTCCTCCACACACTAAAATGCAGGCTGAGCTCTAGGAGGAAGCATTTCTACACTTTCTTTGCCTCGTTCTGGTTCTAGTTTGACCAGAAAGAGCAGAAGAGCTTCCTGGGGCCTCGGAAGGATTACTGGGACTTTCTCTGCACTGCCCTACGACGGCAGCGGGGGGACATGGAGCCAATCCACTTCGTCCGTTCCCAGGACAAGGTATCCAGGGCCAGGCGACGAGAAGGCTGACGGGGTGGAGGTGGACATGGGCCTGCTCCTTCTTCCCCATCCTGCTCTGCTGACCACAGGCCCCTCACCTGCTCTGCACATCTCCTGAGCTCTGCCTCAGCACCCCTCGAGGCACCCTGCTCCTCCCATGGCCTTCAGGCCCCCCACACCCCTCCCATCACCCAGCACTTCCAGTCCTCTCTCTGTGCTGCCTGGGCATCCTCTGTCCTAATACCACCCCCTATTCTGCCTCTGTGCATTCCGCAGTTGAAGACCCCTCTGGGGAAAGGCCGTGCCTTCATCCGCTTCTGCCTGGCCCGCGGGCAGCTGGCTGAGGCCCTGCAGCTCTGCCTCCTGAACCCAGAGCTCACCAGGTGGGGCTGTTGAGACATCCTCCTGCGGATGCCATCTGAGCCACTTTCCCCCCTTTGTAAAGAGCCCTCCTTTACCCCCATGTGGATGGCTTTCTATCAAGGACAGTTACAATGAGTCACGAAGGAAAAATCAAGCGAGAAAGGGCAGAGGGAGGCTGGAACCCAGGAGTACTGGGAGCGTCAGGGTTCTGGGGCCTCCTGCTCCCAAAGGCCACAACTCTGCCTGGGAAACAGCCTCATTATGGTGTAGCGGAAGCTGCTTCGTTGAGGTTGAGCTGGGGTGGGGTGGGGGCTGGGGCGGGGGAAATAGCACCAGGGTCAAAGGCCAGGGGTTCTGATCACAGTTAACACAGGGAATGGTATGGACCCCGGAGCCCTCTGCTCTGCCCGGAACGCCAAGAAGACATCCTGGACTCTCTCTATGCTCTCAGTGGGGTTGCTTTCGAGTTGGACCTGCAGCAGCCGGACCTGGATGGAGCCTGGCCCATGTTCTCAGAGTGAGTAGGTGCAGCCAGGAACAAGGCTTTTTCCAAGGGTCCCAGGCAAGCCCCAAGCCCTCAGCCTCCAGCCTCATCTGTCTCTGCCTCCTTTTGCTCGGTGACTATGGATCCTCCGGGACTTCGATGTTTCCAGTGCACACTCACGGCATACCGTCATATGCTCTCACTCACAATTTCCTGGGTGTTTGAGGTGGAGGGCTGGAGGATGAATGGATAGTGGGATGTTGGGAGAGAAGATACGGTGAATGGAGCATGGGATGCATGAGGGTGGGTGGGCAGGAAGGCAGGACGAGCCACGGGATGAATGGGTGGGTGAAAATATGGGATACCCTCCACCTGAGGACCAAGCCCACCACCGAACAGAGGCCCAGGGTCCCCCTGCCTCTTTCACTTTCAGGTCACGCTGCTCCAGTTCCACCCAAGCCGAGGGAAGGAGACCCAGAAAAACCAAAGATGCCCCAAAGAAGGTGCCTCTGCCCTGCCTTCACTCTGAGTTGCCTCTTCCCCATCTCCTTGGTGCCCCCGGGTTGAGGCTTCCCCCTCTGAGTGTACAGAGAGCCCTGACCCAATCAGACAGACACAGCAAGAGGCCGATGTGTGGAGCAGGGGACTGGGGAGACGCAGAGTGGGAGGGGCTCCTATTCCTGGGGTGGGGAGGACACTGGGAGAGAAAGGGAACTCTAGCACCCTCTGCTGGAGCCACTGGCCCCGGAGGAGGAGAAAGTGCTGGGGGACGGGAGGCGTGCCACTGAAAGCTTCAGGAAACAGAGGAGAGACACCCTTTGCTGAGTCCCCTGCACTGGACAATTGACAAACGTCTCAGTTCAGTTCAGGAAGCAACTAAAGAGTCAGGCTGCCTGGCTGAATCCCAGCCCCACCCCTTACACACTATGGTTCTTTTTTTTTTTTTTTTT